AGACAACTTGCAGACTCCGTTTAATCCTGCAAATACTTCAGCATCTCAGGGAGCATCATTAAGAGATATGCTGCTACTGTCATGGGAACACATTTCATTAAATGATCCCATCAAATATTTCAAGGGCAAGAGCCCAAGTGAACTTTAATATAACCACAACTGACCTTGCATCACTCTTGGCTGGGTTTTGTGTCATTCTCATTCAGCTACTTTGCTTGACTCTTGCTATTTGATTTTTTTTTTAAAATTTGAAACTACAGGCTGGTACTGGTATTCCAGGTTAAAAGCCAATGAGAAGAACTGTGAACTATTCATGTTTATAGAAACTTCACTTCATGTTATTAAAATGTGTAACATTTAGTAATGGTTGACTTATCAACTGGTCAACTGCCAGAAAATGTTCAAGAATAACTTGAGGAAGTTGATCCATGACCATCTATGATCCTCATCCCATGACATCCTCCCCCACCCCCCAGATTTGCTAGCCTTATTGAAACTCCTTAGGCTTCCCTCAAAATTCTTCTCAGGGCTCCTGAGCTGGGAGATCCAAATTTGGCTCAAACTGTGCTTAAAGATGAACTCTTTGACCACCAGGGATGTACTTAAGGATGAACTTCTTGACCACCTTAAGGATGAACTTCTTGACGACCTGGGGATACGTAGAATCGAGTTAGTTTTTTAACAAAATTCTACTATCTTTCCTTGAAATGCTTCAGATGGTTTATCTAACAAGAAACCTGTACACACAACAGCATTGGGTGCAGGAAAAAGATATGTTGCCTCCTTACTAGAGGACACCAAGAAGCAATGATGAAAGGTCCTGCAGCTACTGACTAGATAGCACATCTTTGACATGGCTGCAGGTGATGACACCAGGTGCCAGGTTCTGCTGTCAATTTCATAGCTGTGTGTTGCATGATGCTGCAGCTGTAGCTCCAGCATCTCTGTTACTGCTTCCTGAGGACCACATTTATATATGGAATTCACTACCGGAGGATATAGTGATGGCCACAGGTATAAACAGCCTTAAAGGGGGATTAGATAGATTCATAGAGGTTAGATCTATCAGTGGCTGTGAAGGGGCGACACTTAAGCTCTGAATCCCAGAGACAGGAGGCAGAATCAAGGGAAGGTTTTGGCCTCCTGGCCCTGTTGATGGCCTTCCAAAGGAACTGGTGGGCCACTGTGTGAGACAGGATGCTGGCATAGAAGGGCCACTTTCTGATACAACAGGGCTTTTCTGATGTTCTCCCTGTTACCTATCAAGTGAGCCACTGCTGTAAATTCATTCTGATATAGTGTGTTCTTTCACATCTGTGAAATATGTTGACAAGATTAACACAGATTTTGTCTCAACATTGTAAAGAATCAACTCTAGATGTCTTAACTCTCAGGCAAATGTGTATTTAAAACAAAGAAGCAGGATCTTAGTCCCATCACCATTTTAAAGCCTTTGCCCTGTGATTAGCCAAGTATTTTGGTTTCATATAGCAGCACAACTGACTGAACACAAGCGTGTCCTTAATTTGAAATATATGAATGTACTGTCTACCTCCATAAAAATTCTACTTGCATGCATGCAAACTATAGGAAATTAACATTCTGATGGTGTGACAGATGCAGCAATAATGAAGGTAGACGTTTATATTCCTTTTCAATAGTATCTCATTTCTCAGATATGAAATTTATGCTGATTCAGGCCATCTGTCCATCTAGCTCAAGGTGTCCATTCTGATTAGCAACAGCACTCTAGACTCTCAGGCAAGAAGCTTTTATTCTACTCTTCATTAATGCCAGTTGAACTAGGAGAATTTTTGGAGTTAATTCTGGAACTGAATCATGTGCAGTTCATCACAGTATTCAGTTCTTCCAATTCACTTGTTTCTTCTATGTTACCAACATTCATGTGCCTTTGATAAAACACTGCAAAAAAAGAGGTAACCTTACTGCAGTTGTAAACAAGATTACATAAGGATTCCCATTGTATTGTGTCTTGCTAGCATACACATGTGCTCAAGTATATCGGTAAATGGTACACAAAAAGAATCTTGATACAACTGCACTAATAATTACATCACTTTTTTTGCAATGTTTTATCAATGTGTTCATCAGTTACCCTGAGGCAGGGCCCATTCAAGATATCTCAGCAGCTTGAGCAAGGTAAACCCATTGCCTCTGCTATCTCCTGTTGGCTGGGTCTGAGTTAGTGACAGTGTGAGCCCAGGAAGTGATACTCATTGCCTCCCACACTGATGTTTGCCAGGAGTCAGCTGAGCCCCTGTGGTTCTCATGGAGATGCTGCAAGTGCTTGCTTGGTGGGTGGACAGGAGACCTAGCCCTAGTGGAAAAGATCGATATGAACAGAAGGAAGGGAAAGCGGTAACAAACTGCAACACGTACAAGTGCTTTGTGCAAAGTTTGGAATCAATTTTAAAAACAGGAGTACTTGTAATGCATCAGTTCCACTTTCTAAAGAAGAACGGATCATTTCAAATTCCAGGGAGAAATCTAGATGATGGGAACTTTAGAAGGTTAATATCCCTACAGCAAGCATAATATCTTCACTGGCTCAACCACATAGAAGCTACAGACCTGCTTAGAATGCCAGAGGTTCCCTATACATGAACTTCCCAGCAGAGCAAACAGAAGCTGAATCTCTACTCTCAAGTTTAAGGCAAGATTAGGAAAATTAGACATTTGAATTGACCCTTGAAATGCACCATTCAGACAGATGTTTGCAGAAAATTACAAACACTATAAATGTTTTCCTTCTCCATAAGAAATTTGAACAAAATTCCACCCACGTACCTTGCAACTGAATCTTATTTTCCGGACTCTGTACCAGAACAGAACTGACAGAATCTAGGTTGTCATAGTTACTGCAGCCAAGAGGACCAGTCCGGGTTTCTGTTACCTATTAAGCAAGGGAATGGAAAACCATTTGCTGCATTATATAGAATATGTGGAGTTTTCTGTACAAAAGACCAGGTACAGTGCAGTAGCAGAGCTCATTCTCACAGATAGATACAAGTGACATGGCATTTTCCCTGTGCAGAAATGCAATTTTAGCCAGCTCTGCCAAAGCTAGCAGAGACTTGTTTCTCAGATCTTATGATTGTTTTATGAAGCCGAGCTTAAATATGGCACATGTTTCAACAAGATCTCAGAATTCTTTGAATTTCTCACCTTTGGGGGCTTTCTTTTGGACATTACTCTTTTGGTAATACTTAAAAAACCCTTTAAAATCTAAGCATCCAAAGTAAAACATTTTAAAGTCCCATATAATGGGCAATTTACCCTCACTCTCCCACATAAGTTTTAAAGGTGCTTTTCTTTAGCTAGAACATATCCTCGAATCTTCCAGGTGTATTTCAAAGCAAAAAAATACTTTACCACAATCCAACAATATACATATGAGAAAGGAGGGGGGCTATTGAAGAGGGCATTCATTTTTTACAAAGCAAATTCAAATTAGGATGTGACTCAGAGCCATTATCAACCCCCCATACATACACTCAAATAAGTCTGAGCATAGTTAGTGGGAAAGGTGGCATATAAAGGCTTTAATAATGCATAAATAAATGAACCCCATTGATTAATAGGGTTGCCAGACCCTCTAAAGGAGGCCAGGGTCCCCTGCCACCATGCCACATCCACTGCCACTGATCAGCTGGTTGGCAGGAGGGTCTTACTAGGAGAAAGAGGAAGGCCTAGGTGATGACACCGGCAATGTGGTGACATCACTTCTGACATGCACAGTAAGTTATATCATCACACTGGCAATGTCCAGGCAATGCTCTGATATTTAGGCAAAAACTTTATGGGAGAAGCCATTTTTAACATAGATTTTTTGCCCAAATACCAGAGTGTTGCTGTGATGTGACAGCATGCTGGTGTCACTTCCCATGTGCACCAGACGTAATGTCACCACATAGCTGGAGATGTTGCCTTGGCCTCCCTGGTAAGTCCCCCCATTCCCTGCCAGTTGCCAGGAGGTACCTGACAACCCTACTGATTAATGACCATAAATTGCAGTGGCCTAAGTTCTAGGAAGTGAGTCCACAGGTGCCCCATCAACTTTCTAATCACTCATGGGCACCAGGTATTTGTGTCACTCCTTCAGCAGACAGGAACTGTTCAGCAGAATGCCAGGCAATTTCATTTTATGTAATTAATCCTAATTTGAAACTTCTGATTGTAGTAATGAATAAGAATAATATATGACAACTGTACAATGTCATCACCACCCAAAACAAATTGGCAACATGGCTTCCAATCCTCACTATCCTTCACTTGCAATTGAGTACTGCAAGAAAAGGCTGGCAAGGGTGACGAAGAAGTTCATTAGTTTCTGAGTAATCCCAGGCTTCCCTGAACACGGTTTGAAAATTAACGCACAAGAAACAAAATATCAATTGTATGTTTTTAGATAACAGGTACTGCATTTAAACAACCTTATGAGTTATGAGTTTGCTTTCAAGAGTTATAGTTAAATATGAGGAAAGTTTCCATGTCTGCTTTTCTTGACTAACCTGTGTCACAATAAATCTGATCATCTAAGATGACACCTCATGCTATTATCCTATTTGCTTTACAGCTGAAAATCAGACATGAAAATGGAATGTAATAATTTAAACAGTAACTTAAAATAAGTGCGGGGGGGCAGAAGAGTTGAAGGTTGGGGTTTTCTTGCCATTATTACTGCTGATTTATAGCAATTCTGTAAGGTTTTCAAGACAAGAGATGTTCAGAAGTGGTTTTCCATTGCCTGCCTCTCTGTAGTGACCCTGGATTTCCTTGGTGGTCTCCTATCTAAATACTAGTCGGGGCCAACCCTGCCTAGCGACCAAGATCTGATGAGATCAGGTTAGCCTGGGCTATCCAGGTTGAGACATTAGAGGGAAGTAAACATTAAGAGGGGTTTGATCCAGAACTCTCTTATGTAACTTTCTAAATTAATTTATTAATGCATAATTATGGCTCCAGTCACACAGGCAGGAAACTGCGGGGGGGGGGAAGCGTGGCTGTTTGCTCTGGGGCAAACTAACGCGCGGTTAAGCGATCAGACCTCCTGTGGAGGTTCTGTGGAGGTACCGTGGGGGTTCCGTGGGTAGGGAGAGGTGCTGATCACAGGACACGCCTGCGCGCAACAAAGAAGCGCGCGGTGCGGCAAACTGCTTTTCTTTTTTGTGTACACGACAAATGTGCATGCTCCGTTGGGTGCGTGTGCGCATCCACAGAGACTTGGGGAAAAAAACTTTTTCGCAAGGGGACATGGGCGGGCGCTGAATGCCACCGGAAACACGATCGGACGCCCGCCCTTGCCCCGCAGTTTCCGGAAACTAGTACCTCCGAGGTACTAGTTTTTTGCTGCACGTTTTCGGCGGGAAGCCTCGGTTGTACCACGGAAGCGCTACGCTTCCCAGATGTGCCGGTGAGATCATGCCCGGAAACTCCGCCTGTCTTCCGTCTCTCTTGCGTGACTAATGTTCCATGTGACCGCAGCCTATCCATGGCTTTTCTCCCCAAAGGGGAGCTGAAATGGCTTAGAACATCATTTATTCTTATAGCAACAACGCTGTGAGGTAGGTTTGGCTGAGAGCGAGCGAGGAGCCCAAGGTCACCCTGCAATTTCCAATGTAGAGTGGAGGCTCAGACCTTGTTCTCATAGTCTGACACTATGCATGACGTGAGGGACTCAGCTCCTTGCCTCATGGGAAGGCCCCTTGCACCAGAGGAAAGTGCCCCTGGTAGGGGTGCCAGCTCTGGGTTGGGAAATTCTTGAAGATCTGAGGAGTGTGGGGTTTCAGAAGGGGAGAGCTCAGCAGGACTGGTCTGCCATAGAGTCCACCCTCCAAAGCTGTATTCTGTAGTCTAGAGATAAGTTGTAATTTGGGGAGAACTCCAGGCCCCACCTGGAGGTTGACAAGCATAAGTGGAAAGGACATGACTGTTCAAACCCTTGGTTTACAAGTGTCCAGCCAGATGTCCCTGGGAACAAGGGCCATCACCTCGATGCCACCAAGGGGCATCTGACCGACTGCTGTGTGAAACAGAGGGCTGGAGGAAATGGACCTTTGCTCCGACCCAGCAAGGCCAGTCCTTCCAACCTCTTCTTTTATTCATGAAGTCATTTGCCTTTAATGTAATATGCATCCAGAATGTTGTTTTCTAATGAGGATTTATGTGATCATATTTATACTTCCCATTCATTCTCATTATGGCTCGTAACTTCTAAGGTAACCAAATAAGGGAACTGTGGCCATTAGCATAATCGTTACATGCTCTGCTTTTGCATATTCATGTTCATCCTTCATTCAGAGAGGCCATTCAAGACAATTGAATATAGGCACTGATTGTCACTGATTTATTATATGGGGTGGGGGGGGGGGGGAGAGACATCCTTGAAAAATGTCTGATGGCTGTGAATGAATGTGAAGGGCAGGAAGAAATGTCAGGCTGTGGTCAGTGTTAGTGTGTGTGACTGCAGCCTCGGTTTGCTCTAAAACCCACTCACCATGTTGCCTACAAAAGTAGCAGTACGGATTCATGGGACTCCTGCAAGAGTTTGTCTATACCAGTGATACTAATGACCAGCCTACCTTTATTTGGTTTAGGATGTACATGCTTGAATGAGAATTAACTGGAAGAACAAGCGAAGAAGAGCACATATGGCCATGTCTCTGCTCCTGCCAAAGTCTCATTCACTTCAATGGTGCACCTACGCAGAAAAGCCTTCTGGTAGACTGTCAAAAGTTTAAAGTTTCTTGACTACTACATTATTTAATGGAGATTTTGATAGATCTAATAAAATTAAAGAAGTTAATGATGGGAAAAAGATAATCAGCATATATTTGCTTCTTCTGTGCCAAAAGAAGGCCGAGAACCATAGGAAACAGTGCAAACACTTACATGATATGAATGAGAACAAGATACAGACATTTGCTTTTATGCAGAGATCTACCTCCTCAGACAGCTTTCTGTTTCAAGAAAATGTATTGAAAATGGTTTATCAATAGCACCTCCGTCCTTGGAGGTTAGCCAAAATTTAAAATACATCAGAAGGAGTAAGCTAATACTGAAAGGCTGCAAAAGCATTTTTCCCACCTTTATGAAGTGACATGTCAACAAGCTAGAGGAGTCTGGAAACTGGTATTAATCCTTTTAGACAAAAAACTAGGAACGAAAGGACCAAGTACTTTCAAGAGTACACTCTTCAATTTTGTTCCACTGATTTGTTCACAGCAACTGGACCAACATTTGCTAAACTTTGGAAACAAAAGATTAGGTACTTTATGGCAGTGATATTCAGTGACTTTTTAACCTGTGGCTCTTCTGATCTCTGTTCCCCAATATGGCACCCACTCCACATTCCAGGAAAGTGGGTGAGGACATTGCCCAACAGGGCTAATTGGTGGAAGGTGGTTCTCACCTTGAAACACTGGAGGGATTGGAAGACAGTTAAGCTGCAAGCCTTCCTAAATTGTGGGCCTCATACTAAGGATGGAAATAAAGGTCCCGTATTTCTCCAACTACCCCCCAACCCATGTTGTATCCTGTACGTTCTTATCCCAGCATCTGGGTGGCTGTTGAAATTAGAGCAAACTGGCCAGAGAAAAGAGTAACATAGAGTTGCCAAACGGTGTCTGGCAGGAGGGTAGTGCCTGGCAACTGGCAGGAGGGCTGTGAGTGGGGATATGGGAGGCACAATGTCAGCTGAAATGTTAGCCGAATTGCTCTATTTCTTTAATAAAAGCTCGGGAAATTATGATATTAATATGCAATTGGCATAACTATAGGATCAGACCTGTGTATATCAGAGTTAGAATTCCCAAGAACACAGGAATAGACAAAGAGACTGGGTGGCTAAAATAAGGATTTCTTTACTAAATATTCTCAAGCACACAAACAATAATTAAACATTCATGCACACAATACAGACTTAAGGAAGCAGAGGTGATTGATAGCTAATGGAGGGGTTGTGGGGTGATACTACCTGTCCAGATGTGCAGAGGTCCATGAAGAAAGGGTTGTGGCCCCAAACCCAGAGGGTTTCAGGAGTGGACTGCCAGTTGACATCAGGGCAGAAGCACACGGTCTAAAGGCCATGTGTTCACTGGGATATAGGCATTGAAAAACAATGCAGACCAATGGAAGGTCTTGGGGGCTGGTCTCAGGTGAGAACAAAAGATTACCTGGGCCAATCTGGG